CAAAAAGCAGTGCGTACACTATTGTGTTCCGCTCTAAATGGTATAAAGTACCAGTGTAATTACATCATGTTAAGTATTCCATCTTAATCCTTTTTTATAGGATAGGGTGACAAACGAGCAGACAGTCCACCTGATGGTAAGTGGTTGCTGTGACCCATAGACATCTACATTTATCCTCAATAAAGAATCAAAATGCTGATGCGACGTCACCCGTGAGGACTAAGATGGAATGCATCTTTTCCAGTAAAATGGGTCTCCGCCTCTCTATACTCACCATACAAAACACAGCAGTGTCAAACTGCCATTTTACGCTGGTATTCTGTGAAAGCGTGGTCCTTCATGCTACAACTATACTACTAATATAGCCGCAGCATGGCTCTACCACGTTCAATGACATTCCTCAGAGGTAACCACAAATTTGTAGCATTCTTTATTTGATGTTGGCTGCATATGTCCAGGGAATGCAGTAGTCATTTACCATCTGGTGGACTGTAAAATGTTTGTTACCTTATTTAAAAAATAGGTACCTTTGACGCACAACTTCCACTTCTTGTCCAGCGGAGTGTGTGTTTACTTTGTTCCTTTGTCAGTTAAAAAATAAATATAGCTATCAAGAACAAAAGTGTCAAATCCATCCACACTTATAAATTGCCTTAGGACGTTGTTTCAAGGACGTAATTATCAGAGTAACGCAAGCGTAAGATAAGCGCCAATCGAATTTGCCAAATAAATGTAAATATTACTTTGAATTATCCAAAGGACTTAAACAAGTTTTCGGGTCGACAAAGGACGATAGATTACAAACTGGCGGTAAGTCACTACATGGTTTACACAAAATACAAACAACCCCTTTACTCATTTCTTTTGAGTTTATTTAGTACAGTAAAAGGAATTTAATATTGGATCTTTGAGAAGAATAATTATATTAAACCTATTCATCATTCAAATCTTTATCAAAAGTCCACTAAATGTAGGCCTCCCCCTTAGATTGCTCATAGAGAAGAAGTAGTTTTCGCCATGGTTGTCATGCTTGATAGGCGGGTTAGCACCAGCAATTTTTTTTGTAGAATATAAAGTTTGTTTATAGAACATGGTTGACAAACGAGCACACAAACCACATGTAAGTAAGTAGATTCTGTGGCCCATAGAAATCTAAATCTAACCACGATGGAGAATCGAAATGCAGATGCATTGTCACCCCTGAAAAATGCCTCTTATCCAATCTGGTTCCCCGGTTTTCCATTCTGTGAGAGCGTGGTCCCTGCCTGGTTGAGCCGACCTACTCGTGCTATATCACATAGTTGCAGTATGACTTTATCACGTTGTTATCAGGAAGACGCTATTGCTGATCTCCTGTTTAATCTGTCAACTGTAACCTCTTATGAAGACCATGGGAGGAAATGGCGTGATGGATTTTCTAAAGCCACTACCAAACACCATAAAATATCTTACTATTATAAGCCATCAAATCTTATATATATGCAATTAATTTCCCGGAAACAGCTCTAAATTTTTGAACGAAATTTAAAATTTATTTCATGTTTGACTTACCAAGTTTATCTATGTAGGTGTCATCCCTGAGAATTTATAGGGTAATTCCGGGCGAAGCAGGTTTGCCTAGGTCAGTATGTATATACAATATTGATTCTGTGGAGTCGCGTAACTGGTTTTTCTATTCTTGTGTTTGTTTCAAGTATTTACAGAATTTAGTAGTTTTATTTTTCTTTTATTTGCACATAGAGACATAATACATATTTATATCTAGGTAACTTTATACGCGTACATTTGTGCGCTCGTCTGTTTGTTAGTTCGTCTGTCCGTTCGTATTAGTTTGTCTAATTGACTGATTCAGTATAGGTTTTTATTAAGATAAGTGAATACTGCAGCTATATTAGTAGTACAGTACAGTTGCAGCACGAATGGGTCGGTCCGACCGGTGAAGAACTACGCTCTCACAGAATACCAGCATAAATAGCAGCTTAACGCTGTTGTGTTTCGTATGGTGAGCGTAGAGAGCCGGAGACTGGATACGAGGCATTCCATCTTAGTCCTCAGGGGTTACAATACATCTGCATTCTGATTCCTAATCAAGAATGGATGTTCGTCACCCTTATAATATAAAAAGTACATATAACTCATTTTCACTTAACATAAGGCAAATACGCAAGCGAAGTCGCGGACAATTGGTAATACAATAACAATCAATATTTCTATTCACAAATATAGTAGTTGTTAAGTTTTTTAGGAATCTGTGCCTTCTACATTTTGTTTTTCATTATTCGTTATCCTTAGACAGTTTATAGGTCGGTATATTTAAAGAAGACATAACAAGCAATCGTACCAAACGATTTACGTTAATGTCCTCAGAAGAGTAGCGGAATTAATTTCATTGCCTATCTTCCCATTCAATTACAACAAGGCAAGGCAATCTTGAAGGCAGGAGTTAATTAGCTTTTGATAAATTATTTGCTTTAACAATTACAGCTACATCAGCATCATCATCATAACAGTGCCGGGATTTCCCACTTTCACCACCTACGACACCCACGGGATATATGGAATGAAAATGAACACTTTATTTTTCGAAGATAGAAATTAGAATTACGTTTGCCAAGCCTGAATATGTTTTCTACTAACTTTTTAAAATGGATTTCCTCTGCCTATTGCATTATCTTACACTCCACTACACGGCAAGCCACTTAACATCATCTGTGATAGCATTCAAGTACTGGCATAATATACGGGAAATAAGAAAATTCATTATATTAGCATTTCTAAATTATTTCTGTCAACAAAAATTCATTCTGCGTCTTCGTGTTTCATTTCTTCGAAGTTTTCTTTTCATTGAACATAATTTCCGTCAACAAGAGAATGTTTTTATTAAAAATGCTGTTATATTATGCACTACTACAAATTCTTGGCGAAATAAAATTTATTTTCGTATTTATACACTTCTCGTGTTTATAGAGCTTTAAATAATTTTTATTTTAACATTTAATATGCATTTTTACAAAGCATCAGTAATACACACATTCCAGGTGAAGGCAAGAAAAAAAAACTTTATATTTGGATGTATATTCCTTACATTCTCCCTTCAAAGAGAAATGTACATCATACCGTTCGGCTTTGTACGCAGCTCTGAGTTCGTTCCTCATACACGCGTAAGACAGAGGACGGAGGCATAGGTTTAGAATTATTTGGTATTGTACTTTGGTTTGGTTTGGAGAGACATTCTCGTACCCCTCGCAAAGTGTTGTTTAAGGTAACTGAAACAATTTTAATTCTTTTGATCTTATCTTTTAGATCTACGGGGATATTATTCAGCATACTACAGAGAATAAGTCCACATATTCTCCTTCCATATTCGCTGATAGACTCTCTAGCTTTGACATGCAAAGAATTTATATTTGAACTGTATTCTGATACAAAACCATTTTTATTTTATAAAAAGTTGTAGTTGAGAATTAAATAAAACTAATTTTTATGGAATTTATCGCGTTTAACTAACTTATTTTATATTTCCGACGTTTCGGTTGCTTTCCAGCAACCATGGTCACGGGGGACTGAGGTGACTGACGTCCCGATGTCAGAGTTAACTCGGAGTACTTTCAGCTTTTTAATTATTAATTTTTGGTCCGATCTACGCAGAATGAACTAACTGTATCTTGAAGTCTTCCAGTGGTGTGCTTGGGTTTAGTTTTAATTTTATGAATTGTAGGATCCCAAGCTGGTGGTAGTACCCAGCCTCCCTCTCTATTGAAATTAGGATGTTTTTTAATTTCAATAGATTTGATGTTTTAATTTCAATAGATTCGATGTTCTTTCGCGAGAATTTGTGGTTTATCAAATCTAATTTAATGGCTGGGGTCGTCAAGGTGTGCCCTCGATAATAAGGTGCACTTTTGCTTGCAGGTGAAATAATGAAAGAAACTGTCTTCACTCAATGATTACTTTATTCGTACTGAGTTGACACATTATTATCATATCTGTTGCCGCGCAAAAGAAAACTACAGCGAGATACATTGTATTATATATAGATTAGATATGGGGCTTACCGGCATGTAGCAAAAATATCAAATATGTAATAAACATTCCGCCCTCCAAAAACTACAGTTTTTAACTAAGTGCTCAAAAAAGACAAACATTCAAAACAAAATGTAATGTAAATAGTAATAAAGTTACAACTTATACCTTAACTTTTAAACTTATATAATATATATACAGTTCATGAGAATTGAAATATCGACAGTAAAATCAACTCTTCGCTCAAGTTTAAACATATCGTATTATAACATGCAACACATGTATGGAGAGAGGGCACTTGTACAAAATTCCTACTATTTGCAAAATATCGAAGGACTAGGCACCATAAAGTGTTTATTCTAACAATCTTATGATGAAGTAGATATATTGTGAAGTAGAAAAGAACAAGCAATAAATCTTAAATATAATTTTTTAATGCTAATTTATATTACTTCTCTATTTTTTTTTCATAATTCTAAACGTGGACTGTATCCGTATGTAACAATACCTTTATAAATTAATTTAACATTTCAGCACTTATAACACAACTAATAGGCGTGAACAAAGTAATATTAGTAAATCTTAAATTGAAAAATAGGTTTTCATTTATTTATGCAATAAAGTAATTAATATGTATAATATGTTATAATAAAAATACATAAACTTAAGGCTAAAAGGCTTACAGATTCAAACTTAAAATAAGCTATAACAAAGATTGTTCCCATTATCATTGCAACATTGTTTAGGTGCGAAGTCCTCGGTGGCTTATTGTTACTAGCATGGTACATTGAAAATTAAAGGAAGACGCAAGTTCGTATTTTATCTTTTCCATTTTTTTTATGACTTTGTTGTTTTATATAGATATTTCAGTGATATGATGTAATGAAATATTATAAAAATAATTGTAATTTTAGTTTACTTATAAATTATGTAATATAGAAAATGTGAAATTAGCTGACCACTTTTAGGTATAATCCCTAGCAGTGACATTGTTCTTCATCATTCGGTTTCATTGGAAGTAATATTAACTTTGACAATGGTCTCTTAAGAATGTTATTTCCCTTGCATTGCACTGTTGCCACGCGGACGAGTTGATCAGCACCGGGGTGTAGTGTTATAATTTTTCCTAATAGCCATTTCGCTGGTGGGAGATCATCTTTCTTAATGATTACAATATCTCCAACACATTGAGACGGCACTGTGTCTTGCCATTTATGCCGTTGCTGTAATGAGTGGAGATATTCAGATTTCCATCTCCGCCAAAAATCTTGCATCCTGTTTTGTAAAAATTGCCATCTAGATAACATACCTACGTTTTTGTGTTCATAATTTATGTCGGGTATATTAATTATTGGCTCACCAATGAGAAAATGACCTGGGGTGAGTGGATCCAGTGTTTCACTGGTGTTATCGGAGTGACAAATAGGTCTCGAATTTAGACAGGCTTCTATCTGCGCCAATAGTGTTGCCATTTCCTCATAGGTTAGCTTTGTAGTTCCGTTTATTCTCGATAAATGTTTCTTAACCGACCGAACGCCTGCCTCCCATAGCCCACCAAAATTGGGTGCCTTCGGCGGAATGAAGTGCCATGTTGTGCCATCATTTGATAGGAGCTCAGCTACCTCCCTCGCCAGATTAGCCTTGCCCTGTTCAAACATACACTTTAATTCCTTTGCGGCTCCCACAAAGTTGGTGCCGTTGTCACTCCACAAGTTCCCGCAGTGACCTCTTCTTGCAACGATTCTCCTAAATGCGGAAATAAAGGCTTGTGATGTTAAATCCGTAACAGCTTCGAGATGTATAGCTCGCGTAGACATGCAAACGAAGACACAGATATAGCCCTTTGTTGATTTGTAACCACGGCCCTTTGACGTTCGCAATTGCACAGGTCCCGAAACTCCACTGTTGAAGAAAGCGCGATTTGGATTCACTCTTGCAGGTGGTAACTGGCCCATCAGCTGCTGCTTAATTTTTGCCTTGTCAATTATGCACACCTTACAAATACGAATAATTGCTCTGAGAGCAGACTTCGGACTAACTACCCAGTACTTGCTGCGGATATATGTAAGCATCTGAAGAAAACCTCCATGAAGAGTTCTTATGTGGGCTTCGTTAATTATAAGCTTAGTAATATGCTGCCTTTTTGGTATTAATGTTTAGCATTCTCATTTATATTAGCATTAGCTAGTCGCCCTCCTACTCTAAGAAGCTCCCTTTTGTCTAAGAAAGGTGTAAGACTTATCAAAGACCTTCTACCTTTTATCTTTCCTTTCTTATTTAGATCTCAAATTTCATCTTCGTACAATAAGTACTGGTAGTATTTTATAAATTTTTTCTTCAACTTCATTCATTTCTTCCGTAGTTAAATACTTTTCATTTTTATTTTTATTATGTAGAAATTGTAAACACCATGCAAGAACTCTTTTCATTCGTAACATAGATGAAAATCTTTCCCAAACTGGTTTTTCCTATAAAACTACATTAAACGATCTTTTTATCTCTAAATATGTTTGAGGTATATAATGCTTTGTTAAATCCATTCCTTTATTTTTTAACCACTCTGGTCCAGTCCACCACATGTCATTGTTTGCCATTTCAATTGGCCCCAACCCTCTAGATGCGGGGTCAGCGGGATTGTCGGTTGATTGAACATGATACCACCTCTCATTGTCTATCAACTGAATTATGTCCGACACTCTATTGCCATCAAACACTTGCCATCGACTTGGTTGAGACTGTAACCAAGACAGAACCACCATTGAATCAGTCCAGGCATATATTTAATCCATATGTATATCACATAGGCTAGATAACTCGTGCAATAGCAAAGCCAATAACACCGTAGCGCAAAGTTCTAATTACGGAATCGTCAATTGTTTCAATGGTGCCACCTTGGTTTTGGATGCCACCATTGTGACGTGGACTCTGTCATCTTCATCTAAAACCTTGATATAGACCACTGCTGCGTACGCAACGGAAGAAGCATCTGCGAATCCATGCAATTGCACTTCTTTACAACGTGACGTCGTTTTAATCCAGCGTGGGATTTCAATGCCTTGCAGCTCTTGAAGTGCCTCTCTGTAACTAAGCCATTCCTCTACTAGCTCAGAAGGTAGTTCATCATCCCAGCCAAGATTACTTAACCACAGTCTCTGTATCATAATCTTAGCAGTGATAATCACTGGAGAGAGCCAGCCAAATGGATCAAAAAGCCTGGCCACATCTGATAATATTAACCGTTTTGTTACAGGTTTCCTGGTTTCCGGTATGTTGACTGTAACCTTGAACGTATCCCTTTTTCTGTCCCATGTTGTCCATAGTTTCCGGAATGTCTTTGTCATCTTGAAGAAACTGCAGCAACTCATCAGAATTGCTAGACCACTTCTGCATTTGAAAGCCACCTTTTTTTAACAGATTCTTAACTTCATCGCAAATTTGTTTTATTTCCGACAGATCTTCATGCCCGGTCATTAAATCGTCCATGTAGAACGAATTCTTATGGACAGCAGATCCTCGAGGGTACCTGTCACCTTCATCATCAGCCAGCTGGTGTATAGACCGTACAGCAAGGTATGGTGCTGCAGCGGTTCCAAACGTTACGGTAAGTAATTTATAACTTTCTATTAGTCTCCCGGTCCCTTTAGCAGACCTAAATCTATAATTTTCCCAAAAACGTCAGCTCCGAGTAGGATATCAATCCGACCCGGGACGTTAAAGCTGAGATCAGCTAACTTCACATTTTTAAGTTGAGGCCAATCGTACCCTCTTATTTCTCTAACAGGTAGTCTACGAGTCAACGATTTCATTACATAAGCATTAACATCAATAGAAATATCACTTTCATGCCTCGACTTAATATGTAATCCTACTAAATCATTAATATAAACTTTATTACCTTCACCAATTTCTGATACCACGCCGCTGATTTGAGTCCTCTTCAGACCTAATAACTCGACCACTCGCGCTGTCACGAATGAGGCCTCCGAGCCCTGATCAATCAGAGCCCGAAAGACGTGCAATTGTCCCGTTCGCGAAGGCACCTCTACCAATGCTGTCGCTAACAAAACTTGTTGAGCGGGTTGTTCTCCACTTGACATATGTGCTGTAACCTTGCTAACTTCTTGTGTATTTGTTGTAGTTTCTTCTGTATTTGCCCTTACTTCACCTGCTTGTTTTATAAAATCTCGATGTAATAAAGAGTGATGTCGTCTGTTGCATATTTTACACATATTTGACTGCCTGCATTTAAATACGGAATGATTTGGAATTAAACAATTGAAACACAAGTTGTTTTTCTGGACGAAACTGTATCTCTCTTCTATTGGTTGCTTAGCGAGTTCCTTGCAATTAAATATAAAATGAGTTTCTTTGCAGAAGGGACAATATTTATTTTCGCTAGTGGAAGTCGCATGAAATGTCTTAGGTTTAACTAGTTTGTAAGCTTTATTTTCAGGTTCCACCATCTCCAACATGCGAAAACGTCTTTCCAGGAAGGCTTTCAGTACTTCAAAACCAGGTAAGTCATCAGTACTATCTCTACTTATTGTAATTTCCCACTGTTTATATATTTCAGGATCCAGCTTTGACACGATGACATAGTTTATGATTGCATCCCATTGCGCTATTGGTAAGCCAAGATTTTTTAATGAATTCATACATTCAATTGACGTATCGAGCAGTTGCCTTAAGGACGAAGCTGACTCCTGAGCTAGTGTTTTTTTGGCAAAAAAACTTTTTAAATACGCAATAAGCAATGTACCTTTTGTTGTTATAACGCCTTTTCAAAATGGACCAAGCCTCAGCATAATTTGCATCCGTAGTAGAAAACTGGCGCAACAAAATTTCTGCATCTCCTTTCAAGCTGCTCTTAAGATAATGTAGTTTCTGAACATCTTCTAATGCCTCATTCTTGTGTATTAATGCCATAAAGAGATCGTGAAACGATTGCCATTCCGTGTAGTTGCCTTCAAAAATTGGAATCGAAATACTGGGTAATTTTATATCACTCCCGGAACCACATGGTCTCATCTCATCTATTTTGTGCAGATCGTCTGGTTTTTTCATATCGACCATTAATTTATTTAATGAAGTTTTCATTTCGCCCTTGTACGTAAAATATAATACTTCAAATTTATTGAATATATCTTCCGCAAAATACGGTAACATGTGTCTATCCTTTTTAGAAACAGCCATAACTAATTTCTCATGACCGGACTTAAATTCCTTCCAATATGTTTCTAAAGTTTCCATTCTACTCTGTATATAACCCACGGTTATCCTGTCCTTAGGCGATTTTTTGTAAATAGCGTACGTCTTTTGTACTTTTTCAAATGTATCAACTTGTAGCAACATTTGATTTTCAACGTCTCCATATTTAATATCTTTTATTTACAAAAATACAAATAAAATACTTTAGTAGTAATTCACAGTTTTCTAATAGCTTCCTTAACTTTCAACATATATGTAGGTACGTAATTATTCTTACCAATAGGTCCAAAGTTCACCTTAAAACATTCACAGTTGTTAATAAACACTAATAATTGTTCGCCGACTCACTATATTTTAGTTTAATTTACTTCGTTTAGGATTACCGTTGTACAAAAGTAACGTTTTTATAATTCAATTGTCCGTGTAATGTAATTTTGTTCACTAATAACTGATTTTTAACGTTCTTTCACTGTTATTCACTTTTCCTTCAGAACTTTTCTTCGATAATGTTCATTTATTTTTACTAATAAGTCCGTATTCCGTATTTTTCAAAATAACTCCAATTACATCTACTCGCAAATTTACGTAATTAAAATAGGGCAAGTTGAATGATCCGGCTCGAAGGACCATCATTTGCCCTCGATAATAAGGTGCACTTTTGCTTGCAGGTGAAATAATGAAAGAAACTGTCTTCACTCAATGATTACTTTATTCGTACTGAGTTGACACATCATTATCAAATCTGTTGCCGCGCAAAAAAAAACTACAGCGAGATACATTGTATTATATATAGATTAGATATGGAGCTTACCGGCATCTAGCAAAAATATCAAATATGTAATAAACAAAGGATATGATCACAAACTGCAGACTTTCCAGAACGTTGGTGCTTCACGTCAGCTATGTGTTCTTTTACGCGGGTTTTTATTGATCGTTTTGTTTGCCCTATATACGAGAGACCACACTCACAATCAAGCTTGTATAATCCTGCATCTTGTACTTGACGGATGGTAAGAACTGACTAATCTTCTTCGGCGGCTTGAAGAATGTTCTAATAGAAGCTCGCTTCAAGATGTAACCAATCTAAAGAACACCGAATAACTATCGCCCAATTTCACTACTAAGCACAATGTCTAAGGTTCTCGGAAAAATATTCAACAAGCGACTAATGAATTATTTAGAAAATAATGAGCTTTTGGATAAAAACCAATTCGGTTTTCGTGCTAACAGGTCCACAGATGACGCTGTACTTCAACTTACTTCAAATATTACATATTATCTTGATAAAAATGAAAAAGTAATAGGAGTATTCCTGGACCTTCAGAAAGCATTCGATACCTTATCTGTTCCAAAATTATTAACACGTTTGGAAAATATGGGAATCAGGGGAAATGCACTTATGTGGTTCCAGGACTACCTTTCGGATAGGAAGCAACGTGTTAGGGTTGATGGCTTATTAAGTAATGAATTCAGCTCCATTTACGGTGTGCCACAAGGCAATACACTTGGGCCAAGCCTTTTTTTAATTTACATAAACGATTTGTGTAAAACTAATCTCAAGGGTGCTGATATTCAAATGTTTGCTGATGATACAGTCATACTGTTTCATGGCGAGTCTTGGGAATATGTACATCGTCTTGCTGAAGACGGTCTTCGTACTATTACATATATAGCACTTGCAGAATGTGTATATGTTCGTGGGGAGCAGCAGCTAAAACACATTTAATAGAACTTGAACGAGCACAAA